GATAAAAAAATATAAGTAAACATATAAGTTATGCTTAAACTTTTAATACGAGAAAAAAGAAATAGAAAAAGATTATCCATTGGGAGTGGAGGTAGTAATAATTTAAAGTAATATATAAGAGAAATTTAGAGTGAGTAAGATCATTTGGGAAGGGAGTGAGATGCTGCAACAAAAACCCAACAGACGCATTCCCAAAAAGAGGAATCAGGAGAAGGCCAGCGTGGGCTTTGGGTCCTCATGATTCTGTGATCATTTCAATCAGTGTTGTTAGAATCAAGACCCTTCCTTACTAATCATCACCGATTGATTCATCATCTCTTTTGTTTCTTGAGAAAAAAACTGTAATTAGGGGAGAATGGTTGGCAGCACCAAAACAAAAATAACCGTAAATCAGGTGAATTTTTGTACTTTTTCACCTGATTTTACTGCTTTGTTATTTGTTTAATTGATAATCTTAACAAATTTATTGGTTTGCAATAACCATTTCCTGTGATTACATTTGGAGTTACATTTTTTAATTTTTATTATAAAAATTTGCTATTTATGCTACATAGAAGGCATGTTTATTTATTATTTTTTTAAAACGGATTACAATTTAGAGAAGGGGGTTTCAAATTCCAACCCTAGGGTTAGAGAGGTGTAAAAGATATATAATTATCACACTACGAAATCTAAATGCACAAAACGTGTTTATTTAAAGAGTATTGTTGGAGAGTTCCTCACTACAACTCCTCATATTATTTGGGGTTAAGCCCACAAATAAAAGCCTGGACCGAGCAGTTGCTTCAGGACATTTTGGTATCTTATGTTAATTTTTTTGGTTTGCAGTTTAGATAAACTTCAAGTCGCAATGCTACAACCACCTACCTAAAGTCCCGAATATAACTTAACAATAGTGAATAACACAATCTCAAGTTTATGAATTATGAAACCTGGAAGTTGATTTACACTTAAGCTGTCATCTTCTGCATCCATGAGCACAAGGCTGATGAAATGCAGAAGATGATTACTCGGAAGTTGTCTTCTGCATCCATCCATGACCTTAAAGCCGAGGCAATTCATGACGATAATGATGGGACAGTCGTTTCCGTGTAGCAAACTGGATGTGTGGATTTCCCTTGAATGATTTTATCAATGGATAGTTCGCTGCAAGCTTTGAGGATGATACTGCCCCGATAAGCCTTGCACACATAGCTTATGAAGTTTTCATAGTCCTGAATCCAACGAATTGTTATCCTTTTTCAATAACATTTCATGGGAGATATTTGATGGTAAAGTTAAGAATTTCATATCTGGGTAATTTATCTTAATCAAGATATAGTCAGTGGGCAAACCTCATAAAGTGGCTGCCCATCCACAACAACCCAAGGCACGTACTTGTGTGGAGGATG